TAAGGCCTGTCTTCATCATTTTTTCTTTTTGTTTTTATGTCGCACCTGGCGATGCACAGGGGTTACTCTTGGCTCTGCACTCAGGAATTACTCCTGGCAATGCTTGGGGGACCATATGGAATGCTGAGAATCGAACCGGGGTCAGCCGTGTGCAAGACAAATTCCCTGCCCGCTGTGCTATCACTCCAGCCACGTGTCTTCATCTTTTTTAGGTGAATTATTCCCTTTATTTTACCTTCTTGGTTAAATTTATTCCAAGATATTTAAATATCTATGCACATTTTAGTGAACTTGTTTTCCAGATTTTATTATGATAGTTCATTATTTGGTGTAAGTCTAATTTGGTATTTGGATGACGTTACTGTCAGTATCACCCTTTAGGTATATTACTATTGGCTTTACATATTTTGGTGCTTCTGGGTTGGGTAGATATATGTTAAAAACTGCTATATCTTCCTTTTGTATTAATGCCCTTATATAACATCAATCTTTGCCTCTTATACCTTTTTTTTTTTTTTGGCAAGAAGTCTCTTTTATCTGATTGATAGAGAAGTTCCTGAATTTATTTATTTATTTATTTATTTATTTATTTTTTGGAATAGCGTATTTACCTTCAAGAGAAGAGAATCAAAATACTGGCATAGCCTCAAGCACACAACCCACCCGACCCCTACCATTACAGACTTTGATAAACAGAACAACATCCATGAAGAGACTTCAGATAGAACAATGGGCAACTAAGCAAATGAACAGTTTATAACTGAATCACCAGAATCTTCCAAGAAAGCCAATAATGTAAGCAGGCCAAGCAACACTTTAAAAATTCACAAAGACAATAAGTGTATACCCTGGGGGGCTGGGGGGGGGGTGGAGTGACCTCCCAAGTGGTGCTCAGGGCTTCAGGGATCACTCATAGAAAAACTCAGCCAATGGATCCAGTGGGTCGATGTGAGAGACAGGGGATGTGATGCTCACAGGCTCTGTGGTGCTAGGGGTTACTAGGTCATCCCAACAGTGCTTGTGAACATTTGGGACCACACCTGGTTGTACCTGGGGGGCCAAGTGGGACAGGGATGAAACCTAGTTAACCTTGCAGGTTCCAATCCCTAAACTCTCCCCAGCCACAAGGATATTTAGTAACCCAAGAGCAAAGACTATTATTATCATAAAATAAATACAGGTTATCACCTAAGACTACAGTCTGATCTTTGGTATTAAAATTATGATTATTCATTTGTTTTGGGCAACACCTGACAGTGTTCAGGGGTTAAGCCTGGCTCTGCACTCAGTAATCACTTCTGGCAGGCTCAGGGGACCATAAGGGATGCTGGAGATTGAACCTGGGTTGACTGTGTGCAAGACAAGTACCCTACCCACTGTGCTACTGCTCCAGCCTAGATTGTTCAATTTTATTTTTAAAGACTGGATAGTGAAGTAATAGTTCAAGATCAAAGCTATGAAGAGGAGGGTCAATTGTAAGGCAAGTTTCCTGTTACTCAACATAGAAGTATATATAGAGGAAGTAAAACATGAAGATTTAAGTACAAGAATAGGGTCAGAATTTGCAGGATCTCAACAGAGAGGTGATAAAAGGGGATGTAGAAGGATAAATATAAATTATATTTAGTCTAAATCTAGAAAGTATCCAGAGCGATAGCACAGCAGTAGGGTGTCTGCCTTGCACGCAGCCAACATGGCCGACCCGAGTTCGATTCCTCCGCCCCTCTCGAAGAGCCCGGCAAGCTACCGAGAGTATCTCACCCGCACGGCAGAGCCTGGCAAGCCACCCGTGATGTATTCGATATGCCAAACACAGTAACGACAAAGTCTCCAATGGAGACGTTACTGGGCCCACTCGAGCAAATCGATGATCAACGGGAGGGCCTTTACCTTTACCTTTACCTATATCTCTATTCAGTAGAGAACCAGTTACCAGTTAATTTTTTAATATCCAAACTTTCAAAATAACCAAAGACAAGGACAAATACAAACAAGTGTCAGAGGCCAAAAAAATTGGTTCAATAGAAAATGGGAAAAAAGCAGTTTTCAGGGATCAGAGAGATAGTACAGAGATTAAGGTGATTGCCTTGCATGCAGCTGACCTCCACCAGGGGTGACCCCAGAGCACAAGCCAGGATTAGCTTCTAAGGACCAATCGGTGTGGCACAAAATGCCTTCCTGAAAAATAAGTATTTTTAGTGGAGTGCTAGGACAATAGAGTAACTATACAATGAAATAAATCTTATATTTACAAATATAACACCTATTATATACCAAGGCAACTCCAAATAGGGTAAAATCTCAATGGGAGAGACAAAACTAAAGGAAATTATTAAGGGCCAGAGAGATAGTATAGGAGTTAAGATGTTCAGCTAATAGCTGACCCAGGTTCTAGCCCTGACACTAGATGATCCCCCAAGCACTGCCAAGAATGAGCCCTGAACACAGACCCCACAGTACATCGAGGAATGGTTCAACCCCTTTTCTCCCTAGTAAAAGAAAATAATAACCACATTTGTAGTCTGAAGAATAATTTTTTCTAGAGGGACTTCATTCAGCAGTGCTGGGGACATGCAGGACCAGGGACTGAATATAGGACCCTCTACATGCCAGGCTCTATCCCCTGATCCTCAGGGGAAAAATTTTAATGATATGTAAAACATACTTATCATAAAAATGTGATCTATTTGAACATACTAAAAACTGAAATGTCAATATATCAAAAATACAAAAAAGACAAGTAACAAAGAATTTTGTAACACTATTCATAAGGTGTTGCATTCAAAAACATAAAGAACCCCCTGTAGGGGTCAGAGCAATAAAGAGGACAGTGGGAGGGCGTGCCTTGCATGTGGCTAGCCAGGTTCAATCCCCAGCATCCCATATGCTTCCCCAAGCATCTCCAGGAGTAACCTCTGTGCACTGCCAGCTGTGGCCCCCAAATCACACATACTCACTGAAGATGATATTCAAATAGCTAATAAAAATCGCATCTGCTATAAGGAAAAAAGCTACTGAGAACCGCAATGAGGTATCACATGCTTGAAGCTAATGCACTCTTGAGGGACCATAAACTAGAAACTGGGAAACAACTTGGCACAATGTAGCAAAATTAAATGCAACAAAACTTGTGTCCCTGAAGTTGAACCAGAGCTCAATGGTAGAGCTGGCCTTGGAGGCTTGGGGCTGAGTCTGACCCCAGCACCGCCTCATGTGCTGACTGTGATCCCTGCATCCCACCTGCTGAGCTCAGTGATGCCCACATCGCTGCCTTTTGTGATTCCTAGAAACAATCGTCTGCTGTCTCCTGCACACTGCAGCCTTGTTGTGTGCCACCCCTGGCAAGCAATGTGACCAAGGCGTGTGAGCACCATAGCCAAGGGGGTGTGCTCGTGACAAGTACAGATAAAGGAAGGGAAGGGGAGATAAAAATCACTTCTTAAAAATACTTTTAAATGTTTATATATATATATGTGAAGGTTTATCTCCATATATATAGTCACACATTTCGTGTACTTTCCATATATTCCACAATGAAAAAGAATGCACAAAAGGGCCAATAAATCACCAGTCTTGGTTATACAAATAATATCCTACAAATAATATCCAGGCAACAATTTCATATGCTAATAGTAGGAGAGCAAATCAGTAAAAGCTTTTGAAGTGGTGATGTATGTGTGGAAAAAAAGTAAAATTCATATATTTCTTAATTATTCCAATACTAAATACCTAATGAAATATTACTGCATGCTCTCAAATGTGTATGAAATCTTTCCCATTTACTTTAGCATTATAGTTTAAAAAATGAATCAAAGTCAAGAAAGAAGAATGTATGAAGAGTTATCATAATCCATACAATGGAAAGCTATGTAGCTGCTAATGAAACTCTTATGTTTGAACTGTCATAAAGTGTTCTCGAAGACATGGCAGTTGAACCAAAAATAAGTCATAGAACATATACATAGCATAACCCTAAGTTTTAGATATAAATATGTACGCAAACAGAGAGATGTATGGAAAACATTACAAATGTGCATTAACCTGCTAGCTAAGGTTAGCTCGGAGGGAGGGTGTGGTAAGGGAGAAGGCCCAGCAAAGTGGAATCTTACTGTTTTACATGTGTGATATAAATCTTTTGTAAGGACATACCCATAGGTCCATACTTCTGTATTTTTAACTGGAGGTGACAGCAGAACAACTGGATTGCCATTTGTTCCATTCCAGTGAGAACCACCTAATATACTTGGAAATAACTTGCTTTCAAAGCTAATTTTTTTTGTTCCCAGAGAACCCTGAGTGAGTCTGTAGTTGTGTTACAGGGCTGTCAGCCATCGGTTGATGAGCGCCGTGTAGGATGTACTAAGTGACTCAGCCCCTCTCCAAGCTTGCCCCCTTGAAAGTATTTGCATACATTCTCATATCCTGGCTCGTTGGCAATCGCAATAATGTTTTCGCAAAGCACTTTGCTAAAGTAAATAAATTCTGATGTTACCCATCAAAGCACAACCATAGCAAAGTGCTGATGTGGCTGTCAAGAAGCATGTTTAGGTCCCAATTAGTAATCACACCGTTGGTGAGTGACTTTTGGAATAAGTGATTTGCATTTGGATTCATATGGAAAAACCTAGGCCCCACTAAGTCAAGTTTTCCATTTCTTTCTTCCCTCTCATTCCACTACAGCCCTTTTACAGATCAAACTTTTTTTTTTTTTGCTTTTTGGGTCACACCTGGCAATGCACAGGGGTCACTCCTGGCTCTGCACTCAGGAATTACTCCTGGCATTGCTCGGGGGACCATATGGGATGCTGGGAATCGAGCCCGGGTCGGCTGCGTGCAAGGCAAACGCCCTACCCACTGTGCTATCGCTCCAGCTGCCAGATCAAACTATTTTCCATGGAAATAGAAGCGGGGAAACCTGATCATGAATTATTTGGTATCAGCAGTAAATCAAAGTTGAAAGCACTATACGCTTACTTAGGAAGAAAATCCAACCACATGTATCGATTTTGGTGTGTACTTTATTTTGATTGGAATCATAGCCATATGAAGGAAAATTGCCAAAGTGTTCCTTAATCCTTGGAGGCCAGATCCTTGCCTTCATATGTCAAGGGAAGGGAAAAGCCAGTGTGATGCTGGAGTCCAGCCTGCTTCCATGCTCACGCTGACAGGAAGGAGCCTTTTGATGAAGATCTCCACACACATCTTAAGTACAAACATAGCATCATCACCCACAGCCATCAGCCTGGTCCTCTGCGTCCACTGGCATATGCATTTTTTTTCCAAAAGATCTTCTCCGCAGTGGTGTCAGTGCTAGTTCTCATCACACCTCAGCAGCAAATACCCCCTTTATTTCCAGACAAACAAACTAGGAAGTCAATACATCCAGAATTGATGCTTTCTTTCCATAAGTCGCCAAGAAGAGAATGAATTTCATTTCAATACATTTATTTTTATGTGATTCTTAATAAAACACTTTCAAAACATTCTGTACATCTCAAGCCACTCAGAACTGCATTACGTTCTATAAATGTGATTTGTTGGGATGAGGTGCCAAGATGTCTCTGTACAAAGATGTACAATATGTACAGTCACGGTTAAGTGCGAGCTGTGCAAAGCAGTCTAGAACACTAACTCATGCCAAGGCTTAGAAAACATTTCAACACATAAGACTAAAGCTTGAAACTGCGCTGTGTTTTTCGTTTCTTTTTTTGTTTTCCTGGTTAGGTGATTACCTTATAAACAAATATATGTATATGTCATATAGAAAGAGTACTCTGACTCCTCAGCTCAGTGGGTGCCGTGCAGCTGACTGGATGGTTACAGAGCTGCTCTGAGCCTTGACAGGGGTCGTCTCGTCACTGAGCTGCTGCTGCTGCCTTTGGGTAGGCCCCAGAGACACTAGGGGTTTTAAATTTGGGGAGATAAAGGCCAAACTTGTTCTCAATGCCAGCAATAGTGGCTGTGGCGAGTCTGTATCCACCAATGTGATCAGGGCTGGCAGGAGGAAGGTCGGAAATGCGTGATTTAGGCGTTGGTTCCGAGCCGGAGGGTTTGCTATAGAGAGGAGGGGGGAAAAAACAGTGGTTAGCTCACCCAAGACCCAAGACCCATGAGGAGGGCAAGCAGCGGTGGTTTTCAGTAGGACTGCATGTGCCACCTCGAGTTTCCTTACCCTCTGTGCAGTGTTTCTCATGACTTACAGCTGCTGTAGAAACAATGCATGTATATATTTGGTTTAGAAGAGCAAGGCCTTGATTTCAATGTTCATGAGAAAGATCAGAAGTGAATACTACAAAGATTAACACCTTCTGGGAAGCAGGCTTATGGGGGTAGGGAGGAGTTCTCTTTTCTACTTCTGTTTTCTAAATTGTCTACACTAAGCATAAACTATTGGAAGTTTTAAATGTTATTTATTTTGGGGTCACACTTAGCAATGCTCGGGTGTTACTCCTGGCTCTGCACTCAGGAATCACTCCTGGCAATGCTCTGGGGACCATAAGGAAAGCTGGGAACTGAACCTGGGTGGTCTCTTGTGTGCAAGGTAAGTGCCCTACCCGCTATATTCTCTCTCTAGCCCCTATTTTATAACTGAAAACCCAATTTTTAAAACAGAACCTAATGGTTAGTACTGAAATTATTTTAGGATTTAGGTCAGTTTTATTCTAAATGTGGAAAAGAGAAGTGCCTGAATGTACAATTACTCCTCCTATATGCTTAGTAAGACCCCTTTTTATTTAAGTGACAGCTGAGCTGACTTTGGGAATCAAAGCCAAATCACCTTTCTTTTCCTTTCCTTTCCTTTCTTTTTTCTTTTCTTTTTTCCCTATCGGTTTTGAGGTCACACCTGGCAATGCTCAGGGCTTACTCCTGGTTCTGAACTGAGAAACTGCTTCTGGTGGTACTCAATGGACCATACCTTACAGCTGCATTATCTCTCTGGCTGCAGAGACCCTCGCTTTTTGATTCAACAGCACATTGCCCACTCAGTCTTTAAACAGAAATAGGGTTCACAGGTTTATGGGCTGTGTAGTGAAGATTCAGATGTAGGATTTGATCCTCTGTTGAAGGCTGATTACTACCTGCTCTGGGTAGAACCTTCCCCATCCATTAAATTCAGTAATTTCCCTTCTCCCAGCGTGAGCTTCAAGTGGCCCAGTTTCTGACAGGAACTCACCAGTGATTATGTCCATGACCATAACCACTCTTTAAACTTCTTTTGTATGTAATGGCAACTTTTTTTTATGTTTCTTGGTGGTTTTGGAGCCATACCAGATGATGCTCAGGAGCTACTCCTAGCTTGGTACTCTGCAGTGTTCAGAGGACCAAGAGGTGCCAGGCACTGACTTAACCCAGGCCTCCTGCATGTAAAGTACGTGCTCTAGCTAATTAAACTCTATCTCCACCCTCTTCTTTTGTTTTTTTCAATAAAGTAGCTCAAAGCACATCTACAAACTGCCTAATAAATTATAGGGAGTAATGTAATTTGTAAGGTATTTTAAAAAAAAGCTTGACTGGGGGACTGGAGTGGTAGTACAGGTAGGGATGCTTGCCTTGCATGTGGCTGACCCAGATTACATTCCCAGAACCCCATATGGTCCCTTGAGCCCCACCAGGAGTGATCCTTGAGCTCAGAGGCAGGAGTAAGCTACACCTCCAGGTGTAACCTAGCCCCCTACCCCCACAAAGAAAACCAATTATTTTCATACCTTTAAACTTTCCCCAAGTAGCTGCCTGGAATGGTGCTCGGAATGATGTTCCCTGCCCACATCCTACTCTCCTGGTGCCACAGCATCCCATACTTACTGTTGTTGCAAAATCTCATAAGTGTTCCCCAAAGGCCTGTGTAGACTGCCCAAAGAGTGGGCACTTTCTCTAGAAAGGAACTGCACAGCTGTACTTACTGGCCTCCAAAGTCAAGGTAAAACCACCGCTGGAGAAGTTCGTAGGTAACCAGGGTAACACCAAACTGGGGAGAGGACCGGAACACTCGAGCTGCACGAGAGAGAGAGAGAGAGAGAGAGAAGTGGGGGACACCAAGATGTGTGAGTACCAGGATGACCACATCGAAGCCAAACAATGAGTAACAGGAGCAGGACCCTCATGCCAGGCAGCCATTCCAAACGGCCTCCGTGCCTACCTGCAGTCCCTTTCCAGAAGGCCGAGGGCCCTTCTTCCCGGAGTATCTTCCTGAAACAGTCGATGACCCCAGTGTAGGTGGTCTGGCCAGCACGCGCAGCCACCTGCAGTCTGGTCTTGATGACATCAGCAGGGGTCACCAGAGAAGCAGCAGGCACACCTTCCAGGAGAAAGGCACACACATTCAGCCAAGGGGCCTCAGACAGACAGAAGTCCTGCTAACAGCCAGCAACAGAGCTCACAGCTTCAATGCTTTGGCTCCGAGCTTCTTAAACAGAAGCCCAGGCAGCAGTGAAAAATGGCATATACTGCTCAGTGCAGGAAGACCAAATACGCTTTTGTTTTTCTTTCCAAATTAGGAATATCGCTCTTTATTGCATAATCCCAAAGCACTGTGAGAGAGAAAAGGGCAGCAAAGGACTTGAACAGTCCCCAACTGTTCCTTACCCCTTTTGGGTTTCAATTCCTTCACATCTTACTTTCTCTTAAGATGTGAATCTTTTTTCAGGTACAGTGAGAAAGATAATGTCAACTTAACAAGCGAGTGGATGGGCTGACACCAAACCACAATTTGGTGCTAATGCTTGTCCCCTAGCTCGCTGTGCAGGTGTGTCACTACCCATGTCCACCCACCTGTTGGAGGGCTAACCTGAAGAGGGAACTTCAAGGCCTTTCAGCAAGCATGAGCGTGCATGACAAAGCCATTACCAGTGGCGCAGAGGCTGGGCTGCGTGCTAAGGAACTGCAGGGGAACAGAGCATCCATCTCCCAGCCCGAGTTCCCTGGGGTCATGGTGAAATTGACCAGCAGCAGGACAGAGACCAATTTCATAACCATTTATAAAACAAAACAGAGAACAAAGGAGCAACATAACCTCCCCGGGGAGAGAAATTCCATTTGGGCTGAGCAGCATAGAATCACAACTGGGTAGACGGAGCTAGCAGAGCACCCCTCTTCCTCTGTGGCTCTGAACCTCATTCAGACGAAACTAGGGAAACTGCCTGCCTGCAGGCTATTCTGAATTCTGAACATTCTAGGTGCTGTCAGCCAAGCTTCACTGGTATAGAATTCACCTCAGAGGTCTAACATGAAACATCTTTGGGCAACTAATTGGTGCTGATATTTCTTTGGAAATGCTTTCTTGGTGTTGTCAACCACTGGCAAAATACCTATTCATGACTGGGCTGATCTTTGCTGGGTTTTTCTGCTGACTGGAAAAAGATTAAGGAAAAAAAATGTCACCATTTAAAAGCTGAGAGACTTTTGGGGCCAGGGTGCTAGTACAGTGGGTAAGGGCATTTGCCTTGCACATGGCCAACCCAGGGTTGATCCCCAGCATCCCACAGGGTTTTCCCAGCACCATCAAGAGGGATTCTTAAGCACACATCCAAGAGTAACCCCTGAGCATCACTGGGGTGTGACCCAGAAACCAAATAAATAAATAAATTTTCTGTTTCCTGGGAGAGTTTTTTTTCCCCCCTTTCGTTTTTTTCTTTTGGGGTCACATCCAGCGATGTTCAGGGGTTACTCCTGGTTCTGCACTCAGGAATTAATTTGGCAGTGCTTGAGGGGCCATATGGGATGCCAGGGATCAAACCTGGGTTGTCGCGTGCAAGGCTCTACCCACTGTACTATCACTCTGGCCCGCTTGGGAGAGTTTCTTAATCACCGTAAGTTATTCCCTGCCATCACAAGGGAGAAGAGTGTGGCCCACCCTAACATCCTTGGAATCAAGGTCTGCCACCACCTTCCACCACACACACACACACACACACACACACACACACACACACACTTTAGAAACTACCCCAGTGGTCTGCTGTGCTTTGCCAGAAGAATGAGCCCAAGGAGTACTACAGAGAGCCTGAGCCCAGACAGTCATAGCCCAGCGAGCAATACAGAGACAGAGTCTGGGTTTGGGTTCCCCTCTCCTATTCCTACTCCTGACCAGCTGCAATGGGAAGCCTTTTCCTTCCTGTCATCTCTGTGTGCAGGTGCAGCCAAGGACACACAGTACTCCGTTCTACGGCACGCCAGCTCCTTCATAACTCCAGAGAAAGGTTAGACTGTTAAAGCAGATGGAACGTCTCCTGTGCCTAACTGCCTAACTTGGCCTAGATGAAGGTTCCCATTTGTTCCACTGACATTTACTGAGTTCCTGTTAGGCCCCTGCTGGTCACGCAGGAAAGGTAAGGGTGAAGAGACTGGAGTCCTGCCCACAATAAGCTCCCAGTCTAGTTCAAAGGATAAAACATAAGCAGGGGCTGGAGTGATAGCACAGTAGGTAGGGCGTTTGCCTTGCACGCAGTCGACCCGGATTCGATTCCCCAGCATCCCATATGGTCCCCTGAGCACTGCCAGGAGTAATTAATTCCTGAGTGCAGAGCCAGGAGTGACCCCTGTGCATTGACGAGTGTGACCCCAAAAGGCAAAAAAAAAAAACAACTTAAGCAAACAACCATGAGTCAAGACATAGTGTGAGCAAAAGGTGTTTGCCTTGCACATAGCTGACCCTGGTTTGATCTCCAGGTACCCCATATTAAATCCCATCAGGAGTGATCCCTAAGCACAGAGCCAGGATAAAGCCATGAGCACCGTTGGGTGTGGCCCCCAAAACAAACCAAAACAAACAAACAAAATAGACAAGTGAGAAGGGAGAGAAGAAACGAGAATGAGCCCTGCCAGTCTCACTGGGGTCTGACACAGCTGACAGGGGAGAAAAAGCGGCTTCACAAAAGAAGCTCAACATTGCCGCAGACAGCGTGGATTCCAATACAGAGAATCAGAAAGCGATGATCAACATGAGGTACAAAGAACGCAAGTGATTTCAAAGTGAATTTTTCTATCTCAATGCTTAGTGGGGCTGCACCCACGGTTTCAGGGGCTCATGGGGCTAAGAAACATGTTAATGATGAAAGCCCAATTTAGATGGGCAGATCTAATTTGGCTCCGAGTTGCTAAGCTGCATTAAGCTGTTTATCCACATTATGCAAATGTAATTAACTCTCATCAGGATTACAGCACATCCCACAAAGGAGAGAAAGTGATCATATTTAATTTAAGTCAGATACAAACAATAACCCTTTCAGAAAGAAAGGGAAAGAATATACTGACATTCTGTATTTGTTAACGAGAACAGAGGGGCGGGTTCTTGGGGTTAAAAAAAAAAAACAAAACAAAACTGTATTTACCTGCCATGGCTCCAGCTGTAAGGAGATTTAAACCTCCCACACGTCCGTTTTCATCAGCCAGAAGTAGTTTGCAGTGAGCATAAACAGGAAAATAGATTGCGGAGAAGGGAATGTCTCGGAGGAAACACGCTTTGGCACCCTGTCACACAGTGAGGAAATAGCACAAAACAGTTGTATAAACACATGTGAATGCCCCAGAGAGCTCCAGGGTGGCTGCTGAGCTGTCCCTGAAACAGCTACTGGAGCTGAAATAGAAGAGGAAAGGGAGAGTCCTAGCAGGGCACAGCGACAGGCTCCAAGCCCGAGAAAGGAGGAGCATCCCACAGTCCTGAGTTATTAACTGCGTCGGGATGTTAGCCTGACAACCAGGAATCTTCTGGCATTTCTAGTACAGATCCAGTATTCAGGTTCATAAAAATTCAATTCTCACACCTCCAGACTGCTTATTCGGCTTGGGTTCTGGTGGGTGTGAAGGGGAGAGGAGGGGGAAATAGACTTGGAATTGCCAAAATAATAGCTTGATTTCAATGCAGCCAACAGAGGCAGCCCCCAGATGAACAAAATGTTGATTCAACCCCAACTAGCATGAAGCCTGAAGTCACGAGGGATGAAGCTATGGACAGAGGCAGGAGGGGGAAAGTATACGGGAAGGAAAAAAAATCTCATCCCCATTTCTACAAAGCAGGGGATCTGGGGCAACTGCTAGTCTACCCAGGGAAGGCTCATCCCGGAGACGCGTCCCCAGCAGCGGCTTCCTCAGCCAGGTGGGCAGCCCTCGCTGTTCATCACGGAGTCTTTCCCAGCCAGGCGAATGCTCTAGCCCAGGGATTCTGCTTTTAAAAGCCAAAGTCCAGCTTTTAAAAAAGGAGACTCTGTAACCAGGAGGAGACTCTCTGGTGTTGTTACAGAAAGAAAGAATATTAACTCCCTCTTACAGGGAATTTTGAAAGGAAGGGGCATTTGGGGAGGGAATGTGTACAAAATTCTCTCAAGATGGGAATTCTTGGTTTACTGGTCTCCTAAGAACCCTGTAGGTGTGATTCCAATTGAGAGACACTTTAATTTCTAATTTGCAGTTATAGAAGTCAATTTACACATTTCTACAGCGATGGATCTATAAATAAATCAGATGCTGTGGAAACACAGTTGCCTATAGGAGCAACATTTATGTATTACCCCACCACTTATACCAAGTAAAAGAATGGGGGAAAAAGGCTAGTTCTTGTTTAAGAAAAATAATAGCTTCTGCTCCATTACATCTGATCTGTGATGATGGGAGTGAGTATACCTGCAGGGAAGGGATCTGTTGACTGGCATTTTGCTAGAGTACATTACACTGGGGGGTTTTGTTTGGTGTTTTCTGGCTTTTTTTTCCATTTTATTTTTGAATTTTTTTTTTGGTTTTGTTTTTTTGCTTTAGGGCCACACAGAGTGATGCTCAGGGCTTACTCCTGGCTCTGAGCTCAGGAATCACTCCTGGAGGGCTCAGGGAACCACACTTGGATGCCAGGGATGGAACCCGTGTAGCTGCGTGCAAAGCAAGCACCCTACTGGCTGTATGTAGCTCCAGCCATTGTTTTTTGTTTCTTTGTTTTTGTTTTTTAATGGCATTCATTGCTGACAAATCCTACCCCTTAACTTCTGAAAAGCTTGAATCGTACCAAACTCAATACCATCTCACTGTGGTCAAGTGATGAAGACAAAGAGAAGCTCCTTTGGGTGGATAATAAGAGACACTCAGACTCAAAATAATGTGTAAGACTAGTTTAAAGTCTTAGAGGAGTCCAAAGGGAGAACCATGAAACGCCATGAAACGGAGGCATCTCAGCCTGAAATGAAGGCCTGAACCTGCAGATGTGGGGGCTGTCACCCCTGCGGGTGCGGGGGGCTGTCTGTCACCCCTGCAGGTGTGTGTGGGTGGGGCCGTCGTCCTTGCTGGTACCTTCATAACTACGGGAGGATGGTCCCTGATAAGCATGTTCAGGTATCCCACTGCCTCTAACAGAAGTGCCCTGAGTTCTGCTTCTCTGTTTGATTTTCTACTGCATGAAGGACCCTGCCTGACAACATGCTCCTCTGGAGTGTGGGGAAGATTCTGGCTCCCACATCCTCTCACATTCCTACTGAGCTCCATGGAGAGACCAAGGGCTCTACCCACCTTATAGAGACCAAACAGCCCCAGATCCCGCAGCACGTTCAGGGCACTGACTCTGGGCCCAGTGGTGATCTCCCCGGCTACTTGCAGGCGGATCTTTACGATTTCCAGGGGGTTGGTAAAGATGACCTGAGAGCCGCCAGCCTGCAGGCAGAGACAGACAGAAGCAGATTTCCACATCAGAGTATGCCAGGTCTTAGAGCAAGGCCAAACCAGAAACGCCTCCCAGGTGTTGCTAGTTCACACCTCCCTCTTTCCCAAATTCAGTGCTCTGTCCCACGCTGGGTGCTCCTTACAAGTCTGGTATTTCTCAGGCATGGGTCCCTCCCCTCCTACCCTTCTCTCCTGCCCAGCCATGCCCAAAGTTAATCAGCTCCCTCGGGAAAAAGTGAAGTCAGATATGGCAAGACGGAGCTCCAGATAAAGCAAAGGGATAAGATGGCAGAGGCTGGTTGACATCTTTTTTTTTTAACCATTTTTATTGGGGTACTGAGATTTATAATACATTGTACCCTTCAGGCATACATTATTCCATCACCATACCCATCATTTACAAGCTGGAGCTACAATGGCTCCCTTCTTCCTCTGAGCAAGCATTCGCTACAGCTTCCCCCCAGTCTGCACTTCTTGGAGGAATATTACAGCAGGAAGGGTGCTTTCCTTGCACATAGCCAACCTGGGTTTGGTCCCCGGCACAACATACAGTGTCCTGAGCATCACCAGGAGTGGTCCCTAAGTGTATAGGCAGGAGTAAGCCCTGAGCATAGCCAGGTGAGCCCTCTCCTGCAATTTTTTAAAATAAAATAATAAAAAGAATAATAATAAAAGGGAAAGCAAGATGGCTGAAAGGGCTGCAGCATATGCTTTGCATGTAGGGGGTCCAGGTTCAACCCTCCCACTAAAATGCTCCCCGGAGCACCTTTAGGGGTCATCCTTGAGCACAACCCTCTAAGTACTGCTGTGTATAAACCCAAACAGAAGTATCCATTCACCGTCTAAATAATTCTCATTATACATCTTCATGTCAACTGTAGTTGAAACACTATATTCATTTGCACAAAATCCTAATTATATTATGTGATGCTAATGTCACTGCAACAGCCTATCACATGTCACATAAACAGGAGATGTGCCACGTCTGCATAGTACAAAAACACTATAGTCAACATCCATACAACTCCTGGCAGCATTCAATGACATGTCAACACTTTACCTTCACCCATATTCATGTCCCAAAACCCAGAGTCATCCTACACCCCCTTCCAGGGACAAGCCCCAAACCACTCTCCTAATAGTCCTGGGGCTATCAATACCCATGTCTCACGCCTGCATTTTTCTGGTTCCAATCCTGCCCCTTCACTCCCATCAGCATGCACAAGAGTCCTTTCCTCTTCACGCGAATCTTAGCATCCTTGGTTCCCCAGGAGGTAGATTTTGATTGTGTCCACTGAGCACTGAGCACAGGGGTGCTGTACCTCTCTGAAATTTTTGCAACTCCCAGCTCACTCATGGCACAATCCAGACCATGGGCACATATGGGTCCCCCAAATAATCTAATTTGATGTATTGATTTGCCTACTCCTGTCCTCGTTCTCTCTCTCTCTCTCTCTCTCTCTCTCTCTCTCTCTCTCTCTCTCTCTCTCTCTCTCCCTGTTGCACTGCAGAGCAAGAGGAAGCATTTCAGTGTTTCAATCTAAGCAAACAATACTTTTGAAAGGGCTGTTGGGAAAAAAAGTATGTTAAAATGATAATCCAGGGGCTGGAGAGAGAGCACAGCGGGTAGGGTGTTTGCCTTGCACGCAGCCGACCCAGGTTCTATTCCCAGCATCCCATATGGTCCCCTGAGCACCGCCAGTAATAACTCCTGAGTGCAGAGCCAGGAGTAACCCCTGTGCATCGCCGGGTGTGACCCAAAAAGAAAAAAAAAAGAGAGATATTAGGATGGTCATATGAGAGCACAGCAAGAATGCTGTCATGCCAGCCAGAAAGAAGAGCCTTTAAGGAAATCAGGCCTGACGATGCTTGGATCTTAGACTTCTAGAAGACTCAAAGACTATGATAAAATAAATTGTTGTTTAAGTCATCCCAGCTATGGCATTTTGTTATGGAAAGCCTGAGAAAACTAACATAAGGCTTAATAAATATTTGCTGATTGAAAAAAAAAAGCTGTATGCTTTTGGAGGGCAAACAACAAATAACTGACCACACTCAGTGGTGCTCAGAGCTCACCCCTGGCTCTGCACCCAGGAATCAACCCTGGCGGTGCTCGGGGATCATAGGGGACGCCAGGGATTGAACCCAGGACAGTCGCATGCAATTGCCCTATCCGCTGTACTATCACTCCAGCCCAAAAAACCCACGTGACTTCATTCATATGGCATACAGAGAAAACAAACAGATGAAATAACTAAAACACAGACTATGACCAGGAAGACCACTCAAAAGACTGGAGCACGTGCCTGTCATGTGGCAGCCCTGAGTTAATTCTTGGCACTGCATAGGCCTCAAGTACTGTGAAGAAACCCTGGTAACATCCCCGCCCTTGTGGCTGGGGTGGCCCCCAGGACCCCCGATCACTGCTTGGGAGACTTCCCCCAACAAAAACCACCACAGATAAACTTCAGAACTCTAAGATCAATTAGCAATGATCAGAAGGGAAAAGGAAAGTGAAACGGGGAATTGAAACATAGGGGACAACTTCATGGTGAAGGACAGAATTGGATTTTCAGCTGAATATATTATATATACATGCTGGTTTTTTAAATTTTTTTTATTGAATCACCATGAGATATAATTACAAAGCATTCATGATTGAGTTTCGGTCATAAAATGATCTAACACCCATCCCTCCACCAGTGTACATTTTCCTCCACCAATGTCCCCAGTATCCTTCCTCCCCCGCAACCCCCACCCTATCCCCCTACCTCTATGGCAGACAATTTCCTTCTTACTCTCTATCTCTACTTTTGGGCATTATGATTTGCAATACAGATACTGAGAGGCCATTATGTTTGGTCCTTTATCTACCGTCAGCACACATATCCCATCCCGAGCAATCCCTCCAACATCTACATGCTGATTTTTAATGATGCACCCCTGAGGCCAGAATGATAGTAGGCATTTGCCTCGCTTGCGGTTAATCTGGGTTTGATCTGGTATCACATATGGTTCCCCGAGTACCACCAGGAGTAATTCCTGAGTGCAGAAACAGGAGTAACTCCTGAGCATTAACGGGTGTGGCCCACAAACCAAAAACAAAATAAAACAAAACAAAAAGATACACCCCTGAAACATGTTATAACACAATGTTATGGTAATTAAAAACAAAAATTATACATTAAAAAAACATTTAGGATAAGTCTAGGAATATGTAAATAAGCACTTGTCAGATACACTAATCATAGAAAAAAACTAAAGATTACTATTTAAGTTGTCTAAAATTTTGGTGTAATACAGTACTTACAAAGAAATAGACTTGACAAATACATCAGCTTTTATTTTACTTTTTTAGTTGTTTGGGTATTTTAGGCCACCCCCAGTGGTGCTCAGTGCTTACTCACGGCAGTATCATGGGACCATCTGTGGTGTTGGAAATCAAATGGGGGTGAAATGCTTGCAAAGCAACACATTAGCTTCTCTGCTGTCTCTCTGCTCCCACATTGTCATTTTTTAAACTCTGAAGTTGACTACTAAGACCATTCATGTTAACTGTAGCACTGTCCTCCCGTTGTTCAACGATTTGCTCAAGCCACCAATAATGTCTCCATTGTGAGATTTGTTGTTACTGTTTTTGGTATATCAAATACGCTACAGGGGGCTTGCCAGGCTCTGCCGTGTAGGCGGGATACTCTTGGTAGCTTGCGGGCTCTCTGAGAGGGGCGGAGGAATTGAACCCAGGTCGGCCGCGTGCAAGGTAAATGCCCTACTTGCTGTGCTATTGCTCCAGCCCACATGTTAAACTAGGGACAAAAAAGTGCAATAAATTCAGTCACTAATGAAAAAAACCTACTGACAGAAGGAGGATTATGATCTTATCACATTCTTAAGCATTTTCATTTTGAGAAACAAATACAGAAAAATAACATTTTTTCTTTACAAATTTTACCATTAATGTAATAATTGCTTGCATTTTCCACTTTGAAAAAGCCCATGTCTTCTTTTTTTAAAATATTTTATATTAACCTTTATTTATTTCTTTTTATTAATTTTATTGAATCACTGTGAGATAATTACAAGCTTTCATGTTTGCATTACAATCACACAATGATCAAACACCCATCCCTCCACCAGTGCACATTCCCCACCACCAATATCCCTGGTATACCCCTCCTTTCCCACCCTCCCCCTGCCTCCATGGCAGACATTATTCCCCATAATTTCTCTCTACTTTTGGGCATTATGGTTTGCAATACGGACACTGAGAGGTTATCATATTTGGGAATTGGTCGGGATGGGAGATGTGTGCAGAAAGTAGATAAAGGAAAAAGCCCATGTTTTCTCTTGAACACATATCTCTTTCTCTCCCCTCACACTTCTCTACATTTCTTTCAATAAAAAATGTTCTGCTTTAAAAAACAGTAATAGTGTTTTACAGGGAAAAATATGCTTACAATAAGTATAAGCAATGAATACAAGCATGTTTGAGGCACAAAGTTGTGAAATAAAAATATGATGAAACTTCTCAATTTAAAAAAGTTCCAGGGGCCAGAGCAATAGTGCAGCAGGTAGGCTGTTTGCCTTGCACAAGGCCAACCCAGGTTAGATCCCCGGCATCCTATAACGTCCCCAACACCCACAGCAGAGATTCCTGAGTACAGAGACATGAGTAATACCTGAGCACTGCCGGGTATGGCCCCAAAAGAAAACAACAAAAACAGTTGCTGTATAATCAAACATGATAATGTCCATTACTTAAATATTAACAAAATGAAGCAGAAAAAGTTTAAATGCTCAATAATGAAACTGTTAAGTAGAAGCAATTATTTCTAAATCAGACAAGACGAGTAGATAATAAGAGTATGTCAACTGACATTAACAGAACACAGAATTTCACTATACCTCTTATCACAAATTCATCAAAATTTACCTAGTGATCCTAAAAACAATGAGTTATGGATTAGAGAGATAGTGAAACAGGTTAAGAC